GCTGTGTGATTTACAACTTACAGAATCATGCTCTTCCACCCAGGAATACTGAAGCACCTTTGGGTACTTACATTATGGAAATTAAGTCAGTCTGCCTGTGTTAGAATCAACTTGTGCCCACCTCCTTCTCATGGACAGGCTGTGAACTCTGTGAGAATGAGGAGCATGTCTCATCCCTGCCCTCTGTGTAGGTCACAGGGCTGAACATGGCACCCGCATGAAAGGGATGCAATGAATGCTTCTGAGGCTGAAATGGCTAGGCTCCGAAGAGCTCAAGAGTACTTTCTTCATTTGAATCAATGTAGAGTCTATCAACCAGAAGATAGCACAAGAAACAAGAGCCCCTGAGCTGAATTTCCTTCCCCTGTAGCAAGTTCCGCTTTTCACATGTGTGCTAAGAGGCAGACAAGCATACGTTGGTCATGATATCTGGGGAGAAAGAAAGTTAGATGTCAGCTGGCAGGAAAGTAACCCATGCATGAGGATGGACACTGGCCAGAGGGATTAGCCAATGCTTCACAGAGGAGATGGCAGAGGAGCTGGGGGTGAAGAGGGAGCAAAGAGACATTGTAGGTGGAGAGATGACAGAAGCAGTGGGGACTGCAGGCTGTCTTTTGTTCCCTGATGTGACTTCCCTCCAGGAGGGGATAAGGACTATGGGAACATGGAAGAGGGCCACTTCTCTAAATGGTCAGGGAGGGCTTCCTGAAGAGGAGGCCTGCAGGCCAGGTGGGAAGTAGGGATCTGGACGGAGAGGTGAGGAGCATGCTTCAGGCTCAGGGAATATGAGGAACACATGCCATGAGCCTGCAGAACCATCTGTCCCCTACACTAGAGCCATTCAGGGCAGTGACAGCCTATTAAAGACAATTCATGCATTGCCTCCTGGCCATGTTAAAGGGAGTGGGATTCACCCCACAAGAAGTAGGGGAGGAATGTGGAGTGGCCAACCAGGGGCTGGTGCCATCAGTCTAAGGCGGACAGTGGCAGGAGGAAAGGGGAAAAGACGGGGTGTGCCATGCCCGCCTACACTGTGTAGGCACAAATCAGAAGGGAGCCCTCGGGGGACCTTATCTTTTGAGGGTCCCTTGTCATCAGCATGCAGGACTGTGAAGAAGAACAGGGAGGCAAGGACGCCAGTGCACAGGGCCTGGGGCAATGACTGTCCTTCTTTCTCGTTGCAGGGGTCCCCTGGGAAGCCTGGAGAGCCTGGATCCAAAGGAGAAAGGGTGAGTAGGGAGCACAGGCGCCTGACCACACGGAATGTGACCTTTGCGCAGTGCCCGTGGGATGCTGAGGCTGGCCTTTGTCCGAGGCAGTTAGTAAACACCTGCCTGGATCATGCTGCCTGTCCCGGTTTTGTTCACTTTTTCATGGATGATCACCAGCTCCACAAAGGGAGGTTCTTTTCCCCCCAGTATTGTTTGTGGTTGATGTTATTATTTCTTTTCTTTCTTTATTAGTTTAAGGAGTAAAATAATCACAATTAGAAATTCAAAGGCAAGCCTTGGGAGACATTGACAGATTTCCTTCTCCCCATGTGCGAATGCCCGCCGAGACGGGCTCAGCTCCCGAAGTGCCAATTTGCTGGGAGCCAAATTTGTCGCTGAAGGTGACAAGGGAACAGATTTTCCCATAATGAATTGCCTTGGCGTTACACTCAGAAAGCCTTTCTTTACATTTTATTCCTCCAAAAAACAACAGGGGGAAAGACATTTTTTTTCTTCTTTTTCTTTCTGGTTTTTGCTGAAGAGCCCATGGAAGGCGGGCGCGTTCTCACACTCACGACTGCTGCTCCCTTTGGAGGCTTTATGCGTCTCGTTTGCCCACAATCCTGCGTTTGGTCAGCCTCGCGCTGTCACACTGTTGCACGACACAGACACGGGCAGCCCAGGCACCCCCAGCCTGCCCCCGCTTGTTTCTCATGGTCCTGAAAAGAATTTATCTCGGCTTTCTTCGCAAGCGGGGTGGGTGGGGAGCCGGCTGGCTTCTCCCACAGCCAGAGGAGTGAGAAACGTGGGGGCAGTGTCTCAGGGATTCTCCCCCCTGGCTCTTCCTCCTGTCTCCTTCCCATGACTTTGATTCCTATATCCCATGGCTGTTGGTTCCTGAGCGATGGAGCCAGGGACAGGAGGACATGTGGCTGAGAAGGCGTTGATGTCCCCCCACCCCCTGAGAATGCGACTCAGGCGCCCGTGGGAGCTACTGCTGTAGGATATGGGCTGGAATTTTGGTTGAGAGCCAAGGAACACAGACCACCAATGGAATCTCTTCTTTAATACCTAATCAATACGCAGAGAGCTTGCCTTCCCCTGTTAAGTGCTTTCGTGGCACGTTGCCAGAGAGCCATTAGACTACCCTTTCCTTGGTACTCCTGGGAACATTTGAAATATGGGACAAGTCCTGTCACCACCAAGTGATTGCAAGACCTTTAATGAATAGAAAATGCTGTGCCACATGTGCGGCAGGGCCTTGGCATCCAGGTGTACAAACGCCAGGACTTTAACAGACCCCTGAATTCAAGATCGCCAACAGAGATCACAACATCCCGTGAAATGTGTCACACCTGGAAAATTGAATTGACTTCCTTGGATCCAACTAAATTATTATTTTTGAATTTACTGCTTTTGGGTTATTTTTGGAATATTAAAAGCAATGCAGGTACATTGTTAAACAGTGAAAATTGCAGGACAATTGAATGCAATGAACAGGATGCGCCCCTTCCATCTCATCCGTTAGCCCCATCCCCTCTCCAGGATCTATCACGTGCTTTTGCTTTTCATCTTTCCAGAGGGAGTCCGTGCACCCAGAATTGTGTGTGCTGTGTGTTATACATGTGCATTTACCTTGTGTTTACCCTTCCCTGCTCTGAGCATATCATACGGTATCTATTGTTTCACTCCTGGCATTTTTCATTTAAGTGCCTATGTTAGAGATGTTGGCGACTGCACCGTTTTTCTTTTCTGTGGCCCTGGGTCATGTCCACAGCCATGCTACACATTTACAGTTACCATCTGCCGTCTTTTCTTTTTCTCCGGTGCCTCCCTCTCTCTGCTACCTCCCAGCAATGGAGTTCCATTACCTCTGAGGCCATTAATGTGGCTGCCATATTTTCAGACCAACCAGCCATTTGAACTTGCTGGGCAAACACGCAGTATAGCACATAAAGGCAGAGGATTGGACTGCCCTGGGCTTGCCATGACTCCCAAATCATTGGTCCAGCACTTCCAACTCTGGGCCTGCTGTGGGGAGAGATGAGCCCTAGGCAGTGTTGGAGGCCATTGGATAATCCTCTGTGAATTCCCCAGAGCTGAGAGAAAGGAATAGGAGATGACCTGGGAGGGAGACACCTCGCTGAGGGAGAGCCACTGTCTCTCTAGCTGACAGAGAGCAAAACCAGACCAGAAAGGGGCCAGCGGCTCCACCATCAGCCTCAGTGGCCAGGACCATCCTTCTGCAGGCAGCCTGAGGAGCTACACTCTTGGGATTGAGAACAGGATTGGAATCTAGCAATCAACATCCTCATCCTGTTCTCTGTAGACTCTCTGTGTGATCATGGGCTGATGGATTTCTATCTCTAGGCCCTGAATGTTTTCTTTTTTCTTTTTCTTTCTGTCTTTCTTTTTTTTTTTTTTTGCTTAAACAGAGTCTCACTCTATCACACAGGCTAGAGTGCAGTGGCATGATCATACCTCACTGCTATCTCAAACTCCTGGCCTCAAGCAATCTTCCTACCTCAGCCTTCTGAGTAGCTAGGACTATAGGCAATTGCCACTGTGCCTGGCTAGTTTTTAAGAAAATTATTTTTGCTGGTGATGGGTCAGAACATCTTGCCCAGGCTGCTCGTGTTTTCATTTGCACGATCAGGATGGTGCATGTGATGGATTCTGGGGCTCTTCTCACCCCAAGCCACACGTGGGCCACCCAGGGCCAAGGGCTCCCTTTCAGTGATCTAAGAGGCAGACTGGGGGAATCCCTTTTGCAGCTGCCTGGGGTATAGCTTCCAGCCCTGAGACACACGCTGATATGCTTCTCTCCTCCTTAGGGAGACCCTGGGATCAAAGGTGACAAAGGGCCTCCTGGTGGAAAGGGCCAGCCCGGGGACCCTGGAATTCCAGGCCACAAAGGCCACACAGGCCTGATGGGTCCCCAAGGACCACCTGGGGAGAACGGACCAGCTGGGCCCCCAGGGCCTCCAGGCCAACCAGGATTTCCAGGACTGAGGGTAAGGATGTTAATGTGGCTTTGAACTTGGGGCTCCTCTGGGCCTAAGGGGAAGCCAAGGAAGTGTGTGGACTTCAGAGGCATCAGGTTACAGATCCCAGTCTTCCAGTGACTGAAGGTGTGACCTGGGCAGTCTGCTATTCCTCTCTGAATCTGCCCTTCCTTGTCTGCTAAAAGGGTAAACAAAATCCTCTTCTGACTGATGATGATTAAGTGAAATAACGTGCCTAGATTAAGAAATCTCAAAAAAGGGTCCCTCTTCTGTTCAACCCTGTTTCTCAGTGGTAATGAATCTCAAAGACTTCATTTCTTGGGTGGTGGAACTCTTCTGCTCAGGACCTTGTACAAAGATGTTTGAGAAGACACCCAGCTCCCAGTGGTGTCTTCATTGTGGGATGGTTCACCACCCATTTGATGCCTGGCTTTGCCACTCTTGTACCTGCCTACCTAGAGTACTTCTTCTCATTGCATCTCTCTCTCTGTTTCTTTTCATTTTTTTTTTTTTTGAAATAAAGTTTTGTTCTTCTTGCCTGGGCTGGAATGCAGTGACCTGATCTCAGCTCACTGCAACCTCCACCTCCCAAGTTCAAGTGATTTGCCTGCCTCGGCCTCCTGAGTAACTGGGATTACAGGCACACAACACCACTCCTGGCTAACGTTTATATTTTTTATTAGAGATGAAATTTCACCATATTGGTCAGGCTAGTCTCAAACTCCTGACCTTGTGATCCACCTGCCTCAGCCTCCCAAAGTGCTGGGATTACGGGTATGAGCCACCGCGCGCAGGCTGCATCTGTTTTTCCAAAGCTGGAAACAAGGGCTTATTTGGAGTGGTGTTTTTTCTTTCTTTAAACATCCTTTATTCTAGTGGCAGAACTTTCATTTTACACAATCTCGTGACACAGGCATACATGGGCTATAAAAAGATAAATGCAGAGCTCCCTTGTTGGAAGTCCATGTGACCACTCCCTCCTGCTCAGTGGCCCTTGTGGTCTTCTGGAGACCCTTGTATTCCACAGAGCACAGGTCTGGATGACCTCCACGTCACTGCCAGTTCTGATGCTCTGCAGTTGCGTCAGTTCCTGGTAGCTGTGGTCAGCCTGGGTTTCAGCTGCCCTGAAAGATGCCAGGCACCCAGAGCCCTGAGTGCCAGCCTAGAACACTCAGTTGGCTTCCAAAGCCCTCTTGGAGCCTTGCCAGGTACTGCCAGTCCTGCTGCTATTGGGCAGTGATGAGAATTCAGGGACTATCATAAAAGATTCTTGGTCAGAAAAAAAGAATAAGGAAATGGAATCTATCTCATGCCAGGTGTGGGGCTATAGTAAGACCCCTGCCCTTGAAGGGTAGACACTGCCCTGGAACCATCAGACAGGAAGGGACCAGCTCTGAGAGCCTGTGGGCAGCTCCTCCAGGTTCTCATCAGAATTGGATTGGTAAACTCATCAGCTTCTGTAGACTGAGCACCAGGATTTGGTCAGAAAGTTGTTTAGAGCCACAGTCAACATAAACAGGGAAAACCAGACCACAGGAACCAGAACGGCCAGGTGGCCAGGCGAGGGAATCAAACTTGAGTTCACATCGAAGGCAGCCTATAGGCTGTGTCCAAAAGGTGGACACAGCTTTGGCAGGGAGAGATTAGGGACCAGACCTCCCAGGTTCAGGACTAAGAAGGGTGTGTGGGTGGAATTAATGGCACAGTGGCCTGAGCAGGAAGGAAATCCAGTGAATAAGCTGGAAAGGTATGGAAGGAAGGGCAGCAGTGGCTGAGAGGGCCCAGGGCCTGGGCTGCTGTGTAAAGGGGATGATGCTGCCAGTATAACAGTGAAGGCAGGAAGGGATTAGAGACGTGGAAAAGATAGGGCTAGGAAGATGTGTGTCCCTGTGTAGGTATATACTTCCTAAGAACTTCCTGGCTTCCCAAGTCCTCAGGGTTCTGAAATGGCAGAAGTTCCTGGGAAGATAAATAACTCCACCTTCCCTCCCTCCTAGGGGGAGTCTCCGTCCATGGAAACCCTGCGTCGCCTTATTCAAGAAGAGCTGGGGAAGCAGCTTGAAAGTGAGTATCTGGACTGTGTTACTGTCTTGCAGAGAAGAGCCCAGGAAGCAGTCCCGTCATTCAGCCTTGAATGCTTTTGTTTCCTGGAATAAGAAAAGCACTTGACTAGCAGCTCAAGTGTAGACTCTCAGGGTTGTGAAACTCCCTGAAGACTCTGTTCTATCCTTTATCTGACACAGACTTTCTCTAGGAATAGTTCTTCAGCTTTCACTTGATTACCTCCAGTGAAGGAGAGCTCACTATCTACAAAACAGCTCTGCTCTGATCAATCATTTATTCTAAGCATGGAGTCATTTAACTAGTCTGTAAATAATGTTGGTGATTTACTGCTACGAGCCTCATGAAACTCACAGTCCAGAGGAGGAAGTAGATAAACAAATAGGATGATTTTAGTGAAGTCAAAAAAGTTATTTCATTGTATTTGTCACAGCAGTTCAGAGGCCAGGGAGTAGACGAGTGAAGGCTTCCTGGAGGAGGGGCCATGTGAGCTGCAAGCTGAAAGATGAAACATGACCCCAGATCTATGGAGGAACATGTGTGCAGGCCTTGAGGGGAGCAGACAGGCATAGTGCTTTCAAGGAACTAACATCCTTTCAGTCCTGCTGCACTGACTCGTTAAGTCCCCAGGTCTAGCATGTGCCTGTGCATAGCAGATGCTTAGGGAGGGATAAAGGTAGGAGGGTGGTAGTAATCATGCCAGCATGTCAGCATTTGCCAAGGTCAGCTGAAGTTCTCAGCAATGGCAAGTGTTAACCCGCAGAAGCCTCCACGCCATCTCATGAGGCTCATGTAATTGTCGTAAGAATTGTTAGAAGCAACATTATTAGGAGCTAAGGAACTCACTTAAGGTTGGTGAGCTGGGAAGATCTGGCCAGGATTTGCACCTGGGCAGCTTCACTAAAGGTTCTGTGCTCTTCATCCTCTTCATCACCAAGCTCTCTTGAACAACAACCATTTCCATTCCCTCTGCAATGGGAAATTGGAGGAGAAGAAAGTCACACAAAATCTTGTTGCAGCAAAGAAGAGAAATTCTTAACTACTCCCCAGGAGCACAAGGACAAAGGAGGAGGGCACATTTACTCACATGATCATGTCTCAGTTATTTTGTGCCTCCCATTGTGAGATTCTCTGCTGCGAGCAAGGACACAGCTGTAAACAGGATGGCCCTCCTTCCTGTGCTCTTGAGTGTCCAGGGGAACACAGTCCATTTCCATACAGGAAAAAGACCATGTTCTTTTTCCTACATGGAAATGAGAGCAAAGGACTGTTTTCTGGAGCAGATAGCAAAGAGTGGGTTTTGGGTGGGAAAAGGAGGCCATGAGGGAAATAAGGGCCAGATTGGAGGGTACCATGGGTGGGTGGTGTTCTGAGGTCTCATGTGTGTAGATCTCTGAATTCAACCTTCTGATGTTGGATTCATCAGTGACAGATGTGACCTTTGCTTTTGAGGGATCTCTAGCCTAACAGCTGAGACAAGGCCCGTTTGGAATTGAGTTGGATAGAGAATCTGCTAGACTGAGTCCTTTCTCCCAAACAGGGCTTTGAGGAAGGAGCATCAACTCCACTTTAAAGATGAGAAAATCAAGGCTCAGAGAAGTTGAGTAATTTGTCGAGGTCACAGGAGCGGACCACCTGCCCTCCTGCCACCTTATGAGAGGAGCAGTATGAGAGAGACGCGTTGGGAAGTGATCAACCAGGTGGTCAGAAGAACCTGACTCCACCTTGGTTTCACTACAGAACATCTGGGCCTTGAGTAGCCTCCCAGCCTCTGGTCTCGGTCACACTGTCAGCAACGTAGGGGTTTGGGCCTAATTACCTATGACTACATGGCAAACAAAGACTGCTCATTGTGGCCACCAGATGGGCACTATATCCCCTGTCCCACTGAAGGCTGCCAAACCAGCACTGGACCTCTGGGCTTTTTAATCACTTCTTTCATCTTAACATGTTAGATGTATAAGATCTTCAGGGCCAGGCGTGGTGGCTCACGCCTGTAATCCCTTTGGGATTACACTTTGGGAGGCCGAGGCGGGTGGATCACGAGGTCAAGAGATCGAGACCATCCTGGTCAACATGGTGAAACCCCGTCTCTACTGAAAAATTAAAAAAAAAAAAAAAATTAGCTGGGCGTGGTGGTGCATGCCTGTAATCCCAGCTACTCGGGAGGCTGAGGCAGGAGAATTGCCTGAACTCCAGCCTGGGTAACAAGAATGAAACTCCTTCTCAAAAAAAAAAAAAGATCTTCCGTGACCGTCATGTCCAGCTATTTAGCTTATAGATTTGGAATTTGACATTGGAGAGAAAAAGTGACTAACGTAGCTTTGTGTAAGCCACTTACTTCCTCCACCCCAGTGTCCGTGTCCCCAACTGACCATTACAATTGCTGCTGCTGCTGCTGCTGCTGTTGTCCCTGCCACTATGGCTTCCATTGTTCTGCCCCGGGCGTAGCAGTCAGCATATCCTGAGCACTTGGCAAGTACCAGGCACTATTCCACGTGCATCATCTCATTTGCTCCATCCTCATTGTAACCCCATGGGGTAGGTGCTGTTTCATCGTCTCCATTGCATAGAAAGGGATACCAAGGCTGAGAATGGTCAAGTAGCTTGTTCAAGGTCACCTGGCTGGCCGTGGCCACCTGGGATCCCAGCCTAGGCAGACTTGCTCCAGGGGCAGTGATGATCACTACTGATTAAGTCACCCTGTGGCCAGCGAGTCAGAATGTGCCCACACATATGCTGCGCATGGGCCATGTGACGTGTCATTGATGTTGTCTCTGCAGCTGTTATTGCCCCCTTGGTCCTGAGTAGCCATCCTGTCCTATGTCCTGTGTCCTATGTCCACTATCTATTCTTCATGAAATGCCTTTTTCCTTCTCCACAGCCAAACTTGCCTACCTCCTGGCCCAGATGCCCCCAGCACACATGAAGGCATCTCAAGGCAGACCTGGGCCCCCAGGACCCCCTGGAAAAGATGGACTTCCAGGCCGGACCGGCCCCATGGGAGAGCCAGGTCGTCCTGGGCAGGGGGGTCTGGAAGGACCCTCTGGACCCATAGGTCCCAAAGGTGAGTGAAGACCTGGAGAGGATGTTCTCCATATACTCCAGGAGGGTGGAGAAGGAATAGGGCTGGGAGGCGGCATTGCATCCGAGCATGCATTATTCATGCCACTGTCATTCCCTGCAGCTTGGTAACACCCGGAGTTTTGGCATCATATAATTTTATCATATGCGTAAGAGGCTTTCATACTTGACATTTTTATAAAATTATGCTTCTGCTAGGAAGATTGAATCCATTCCCTCCTACTTTCTTGTTCTCTCTCCATCTCCGCTGCTCAAGTTTCAGGGAGGTAAACAACATGCCTCCTTCTTCCCCTACCAAGTTTAGCATTGAGGAATAAGACATTTAATCTCAATGGAGATTAAATGCCAGCCTTAAAATTGGAATAAAATAGCTGCTAACTGCCCAGCTCTTGGAGTAGTGACTTAGCAGGACATCGGAGCTCTGGACAACAAAAGGTCTCTCCTTCAAAGGGCAGAGGCTGTCCCATTTAACTCATCACACAGTGATGAACAGGCCAGGACACTCACTCTCTCTGCAGGAAGACAGATGTGAAAGAGAGAGGGGAAGGAGAAAAAAATAAATTTAGGCCAGGTGCAGTGGCTCACACCTGTAATCCCAGCACTTTGGGAGGCTGCGGCAGGTGGATCACGAGATCAGGAGTTTGAGACCAGCCTGTCCAATATGGTGAAACCTTGTCTATACTAAAAAATACAAAAATTAGCTGAGTGTGGTGGCATGCGCCTGTAGTCTCAGCTACTCGGGGGGCTGAGGCAGGAGAATCTCCTGAACCAGGGAGGTGAAGTCAGATTGCACCACTGCACGTCAGCCTAGGCAACAGAGTGAGACTCCATCTCAAAATAAATAAATAAGTAAATAAATTTTAAAACACTTTTTAAAAAAATAATATTTTTTTTTAAAATTTTACACCAAGTTCTGGGATACGTGTGCTGAACGTGCAGGTTTGATACATAAGTATACATGTGCCATGGTAATTTGCTGCACCTATTAACCTGCCATCTAGGTTTTAAGCCCCACAGGCATTAGGCATTTGTTCTGATGCTCTCCCTCCCCTCAACCCCCATCCAGTGTGTGATGTTCCCCTCCCTGTGTTTGTGTGTTCTCATTGTTCAACTCCTACTTATGAGTGAGAAGATGCAGTGTTTAGTTTTCTGTTCCTGTGTCAGTTTGCTGAGATTGATGGTTTCTAGCTTCATCCATGTCCCTGCAAAGGACATGAACTAATTCTTTTTTATGGCTGCGTAGTATTCCATGGTGTATATGTGCCACATTTTCTTTATCCAGTCTATCAGTGATGGGCATTTGGGTTGGTTCCAAGTCTTTGCTGATGTAAATGGTGCTGTAATAAACGTATGTGTGCATGTGTTATGTAGCAGAATGTTTATAAAAGGCTGTTTTAAAATACTATTTTCTCTGCTTTTTTAAAGCTTGCCTGCTTTCAAATGGCTTATAAAATTAATAGTAATTTTTGAATAAGGCAATTTTAAATAAAGATAAAAAGACAGGATGCCAGCCTCATAATTCATTCCTGTCAAATGAGGAATAAGAATGAGTTGTGGAAAGGAGCATGTGGTGTCATTTTAGCTGCTCTGGGGTGACTTGGAGTCAGGGAGATGGATGCCCCGAGCATTTTTCTCCTTTGATCTCCCACTTTCTTACTCATTCTTAATCTGCTTATCCATTTCCCATCATGTTGCTCCTACTTGAAAGGCTTTTTGTTAAATCTGTATATTTAGTCGTACTCATATGATTTCATAAAACAAAATATATGAAATAAATGTCAATAAGAAAGCATAGAGAACATCAGATTGTGGCAGAATACTGACCAAATGTAATTATTATAACAATGAAAATGAATGGTCTGAAGTCCCTGTGAACCAGCAGAATTTCAATTGGGATTACAAAATAAAATATATCACAAGCAGCAGATATTCTGGAAACAATATGGCAGCACAAGTGATTGATTCAAAAAAACAAGGGAGAGAGACAGTTTAATCAAATCTCCATGATCTTCACTCAAATATGATCTCAAGTATCCTCCCGGGGAGGTGGATCACTCTCTCCTCTGCACGTCTGTGGTGTTTTGTTTAATTCCTATGATGGTACTTATCACATTCTGTCTCATGCAAGAATGTTCTTCGTGCCCTGTTTTATTTCTCTTATTAAATTTCAAGCTTCTTGAGAATAGAGCCCATGTCCATGTGCATGTTGAATTTGTTTATATATTATCCAGTTTCTTCTTGATAAAGGTTCAGGTACAATGCTTGGAAAACACAGGAAGCATAGACATAGAAGAGGAGATGCATGCGGACTTATGTGTGTATGGCATGTGAGGGAGAGTGTGAGGGTGTGCACATTTGGCTGTGTGAATGAGTCAGCATGTATATATGAGTGTATGTACACAGTTGTTAATATGTTTGAACATATAGATGTATGAAATTGGGGAGATGTGCGCTTGAACAAATGTTCATGTCTAAATATGTAAAGGAGGGACTGTTCATATATTCTGGTGATCCCACATGCACATTTCTGAATGTGAGTGTGTGCTGGTGAGTGTGTAAATGAGTGTGTGAATGGGAATTGGGGGTACTGTGTTGAGTGAGTGTGTGTGCACAGGGTGGTTTGGACAGGAACACTGCAGCAGCCCAGTGTCAGACCTGCACATCCTGCAAGGTGGGACACCCAGTTTCTGTCCTCCTTGGGGCTCCCCACCATCAAAAGTGCATATTTTTCTTCCCAGGTGAACGAGGAGCCAAAGGTGACCCAGGTGCACCTGGACTTGGCCTCCGAGGCGAGATGGGACCCCCTGGAATCCCAGGTATGACTCGTTCTGGAGTCTCAGGGGTAGGCTGTGAACTACCATGGAGACCCAGCGCTCCTGCCCGTG